AAAAACCCTGTGTGCCGAAAACGATCAATCGGATCGCAAGAATTATGGACTTCTCTCTAACCGTCGCGATCTGATTGATCGTTTTCGGCACACAGGGTTTTTCGGCACGTAGGGACGGACCTTAATACAGTAGTATCAGAGCGTAGGCGGCGTAAGAAGAAGCGGATACAGAAGCGTAGAGTCCTTACAAAGGGAGCTGGAGAGGATATAACTACTCGCTCAACGTGAGGCTGATGAGCAGATTACTCGTGAGGAGCGTCAGGGAGGAGAGCGCGATCAGGTGTCAGCCGCCAGGCTCTAGCGCGCTGTAGCAGGTGTAGAGAGACTGGTCATAACTCACGTAACTACATGCAAGGAAGATACTCTAGATAGTAATTAATCTATTGTATCAATATCTATCAAAACTAATATAATGTGGAGCTATACGCTTATAGAGGTGCGCAAAGTTGGTGGGGTGGCTCACTCGCTTGTAAACTACGTTATGCGTAACGTCCATCCCTTAGTGACGCAAATCCCTACGTGACGCAAGTAACCAATCAGCCGTCTTGAATCAAAGACTTTGTCCCTATTCACGAGATTTGATTGGTTGCTTGCGGCACGCCCGGATTTGCGCTACGTAGGGATGGATGTTAGTCAAGTTTATTTAATTATGCGTTGTTGTGGTAGATGTAGTTATGTATTAAAAGCTACGTGTTATATTATTGTCGAAATTCTGCCACAGCAGCCGTTGGGCCCAAGTAGTTAAGTACCGGTAGTGTTCGGATCTGAGCCGGTATCATACGGACCGACGCCTCCGGCACTCGACACAACGACGCCATTATGCCGACACTCACCAAGATATTTGTACCAACTATATCCGAACGCTCGGAACATAGTCTTTTTCATAGGTTTATATACTATCTGTTTGGTTGCACTCTACTTGTGACTGTATACTCATCGTTTATAACTGCGAACAGTCCTTTTCTAAATACTACTGCTCTACGCGTAAATATCTTCTAACAGTTCATTTAGTCCTATCTAGTTCGTCAGAGGACTCGCCACGCAGTTCTTGTGCCTTCATGATGACTGAGAACACCCATCAGAAACCAAAAGACCTTTTTGAGCCTGCTGTGAATACTGCAGACACAGACGAGTCACCGCCCCAAGCGACCTGTAAGGATGTCGAGTGGAAAGGCAATATGCTTAAGCATATATTTAGCCAGGTACTTGGCATAAGCGTTGCTGATTGCACAGATGACCGTTCGCTGGACAGCCTGGGTGGTGATGCACTTGCAGCTGTGCAGATAGTTAGGGCGCTCGCTGAGAAAGGTATCCACGCGAATACCGATGACATCTTACGCAGACCGATCAAATTCAATATGATGGTTAAGGAGAGACAGCCACTTGTCAAACCATCTCAAGCTGCGAAGCTTAAAGATGAGATTAACATTCCATATCC